AAGTAACAAACAATTGGGGGATAAAACTAAAAAAAAAAAATCCGAAGTAAAAGGAGAAAAATTTTTTAAAAATCCTGAAAATAAAGGATACAATCTTTTCATCAGCCCACACGATTATATCCGCAAAAAGGAGTGCTTTCTAATATTGTATCAATATAGCCAAAGCAAAATATATCAATACAATAGTATGAGGAGCACTCAAAAGATTGTTACAAAAATTACAACAAAAAGAGGAACACAAAAAGTAAAAGTAACACGTAAAAACAGAAAACAAAATATAAAGAAAAAACAGAATAAAACATGAAACGAAATCTATAAAGCGAGTAGCGAATTCAAATGAACGTACAACAACACAACGGAAAATTTTTTCAAGAATGATTTAAAATATTTTCGTAATAAGATTTCCAGATTGCAAAATATGAAAACAAAAGCTCAGATTGAGCGTAACTAGAGGAGTTTTGTTTTAAAGTGCGCTCTTAATGCGTTACTGAAGTGCGTTTGATTTGTTAGTTACCAAGGATGGGCCCGAAAATGGATGTGCGAAAGATAATATTATACTGGATAATTTAAAGAAGTTGACGCGCTTTATAGATTATATTTTATTCTGTTTTTTCTTTACATTTCATTTTCTGTTTTTCCGTGTTATTTTTACTTTCTGTGTTCTATTTTTAGTTGTAATTTTTGTAAAAATTTTTTGAGTGCTCCTCACACTATTGTATTGATGTATTTTGCTTTAGCTATATTGATACAATATTAGAAAGCTCTCTTTTTTGCGGATATAATCGTGTGGGTGGATGAAAAGATCATATCTTTTATTTTCCGGATTTTTAAAAAAAATTTCTCCTTTTTTTCGGATTTTTCTTTACTTTTATTCCCCAGTTGTTTGTTATTTTTTCATTATTATTTCCCCCCCCCTTTTTTTTCATATGTCTGTAATTTTCCTTTGTTTTATATTCATTTTGAACTTAATTAAAAACAAAATCTAGCTTTTGTCACGCATTATAAATGTGATCCCTTCTAAAAAGACTTTCGTGTGCCAGTGTTTTTTCTTTTTTTTTTTTAAATAATAAAAAATCCAATTTTTTTTTATTTAAATCAGATTTTTGAATTTAAATAGGAAATTTGTATATTTTATTTAGATACTTTAAGAATTTTTTTTTATAATGAGCAAAAATTTTATAGATCTTGAAATGCCATTTCAAATGTGTTATGATTTATTGTATTTGCATATTTACACTAAACAACTATTGGTACTTTGCTAATTGAAACTCTACTACTACTACTATATATATATATATATATATATATATATGTGTGTGTGTGTGTGTGTGTGTGTGTAGTTAAGTTTCAATTAGCAAAGTATCAATAGTTATTTAGTGTCAATATGCAAATACAATAAATCATAGCACTTTTGAAATGGCAGTTTAAGATCTAAAAAATTTTTGCTCGTTATAAAAAAAAATTCTTAAAGTATCTTAATAAAATATATAAATATCCGATTTGAATTCATGAAACTGATTTAAATAAAAAAAAACTGGATTTTTTATAATTTAAAAAAAAGAAAGAAAAAACACCGGCACACGAAAGTCTTTTTAGGAGAGAACACATTTACAATGGGTGACAAAAACTATCTTTTGTTTTAAATTAATAGCCAATCTTACTATTAACCAAGTTCTCATTTTCAATTTACTATCATATTAACCTTTAATTTATAACATATACTTCTTTATATTTGTACAATATATACTTATTTATACTTCAAAAAGTTATATTTTATTAAAAATTATAAAAATAAAATGAGGAAAGATTGTGACATCAAACTATTTTTTTTTCCATTTTAAAACTGAAATAGTTTTAAATTCTATTTTATTGCAATACTTAATTTAAACTTTGCTTTTGGGAATTACAATTTTTTTTGTTGCTGAAGTTATCTGAAAGTTTATGATTCAAATGTAATCTAAGAATTTTGTATCTTATTATATTAGAAAAAAAAGGATTTAAATTTTAAAAAATTTTTAAATTTATGTTTAATTCTATATGTTTAAAATAATATATCCTTAAGTTGAATCTAATACTTCACCAACGTAACTTAATTTCAAGACCATTCCGTTAAAAAAAAAAAAAAAATCAGTATTTATGTAAAATGTTTATTATATACGGTGATGTCAATTTATATAGATTCGTTATGAAATTTAAATTCATTTAAAATTTAGAAAAACTGTGTCAAATCTATAAGTACTTTTTGTGATTTTTCCCGATCTTCCGCTTGAGAGTGAACTTTTGAGATAACGTTTATTGCTATTGTTAGTGATAGTGCTGAATATTTCGCTTATCACTGTTTACTTTTTGCAGCTTGTGAGTGAGGTTTTAGAATATAATGTGACTAAGAAAGCAATCAAATTTTTCATGTTCTCCCAATGAAAATATGAGGGGTCATAAAATACTTTTTAAGTAAATTCTTTTTATTATATGAGGGTAAAAAAATAGTAAGAAGTCTAAGATAATAACAATCAAGTAGTTTCTGTTTAATCCTACTTAAATTCGATAAATATTTTAAATTAAGTTGCTTTGAATGTTCATAAACTCACATTTTTTTCTTCTTTTTAGCCACAATGCTCAGTAATTGAAGCGTAAGATTACTTATATATTTTAGTGAGTTGGTAAGTTATTATTGCTTTAAATGATCGGATGTTTAGAAATGATATGATTAACGATGTATTTATAACATCATAAAACGCATAAGTGGCCAGCGTGTGAAGTAAATGGTTGGAGGTTCGAATACCGCACAGAGAATAGATGTTTTCCTCTGCGATGTGTGAATGTGTATCTGAGGCATCATGGGTAATGTTATATGCCCGGCATCTTACGAGAAGGAGAGCCGTTCAAATAAAATGAATGAAGTAGAATAGACGTAAATACTTACATTGAGTAATAATATACACTGTTAGAATTCTAAAATTAGGGTAAAATTACCGTCTGTCCATCCCATTAACCGTAAAGTTTATAGTAAAGAACGCTTCTTAGATTTACGGTTACGAAACCGCTTACAACTAGTGAGGTTAAAAAAATTAAATACAAATATATACGCTTTTTTAACAATTTACAACTAGCATGGTTTCAAAACTGTAAAAAAGAAGTTGCGTTTAGCAGCTTTATGGTGCTGCAATCTATACGTGAATGAGAGTGTCGTATTCTAATTGTCCAGGACAACAAATTGGAAAGTGCAGGGCTATGGAAACTCTTCGTGTGTTAAGAGGAATAGATGAAACATTGTGGTGTCAACGCTAGGATTCGAACTCGCATTCTGTCGGTCATGAAATTGGCAAACTAGACCACGCGGCTATGCTACGCATTTAGCTGCGAGGAACTAAGCTTTTTTATGCTAGTTGGTGCAATAAAATTCTGGTTCTCTAACCGTATAAAAGGAAAGCAATTAATAAATGATTTTCTCACAATTAACAGTTTGAATACCTTCTTATTTATGGTTATTTTACTGCTTTGTTCGAATATGGTAAAAGAAGAATTAAATAAATTGTTATTTAAGCAATTTTTTTCCGAGAAATTTCTAACAGTGTATATTAGCTTGCCATTATAACGTATCAACAAAATATGAAACAGTCACAACTGACTGAAATGAGAAAATATATTTGCATTGAAATACAAATCAGGGCAACATTTATCAGAGCAACAAAATAATGATTTAAGTAATTATAAATAAAACAAAAATTCTTACATGCATTCTAAACAAAAATGCCATCTAAATAAATTTGCGACAATTTACTTTATTTTTCAAGTTAAATTGACCATTAAAATGATTGATCTTTGAATTTATACTTCAAACAAAAGCGTTCCACTCTATTAAATAACATAAGATTAAAATCTTATTAAAATGGAAACTTTATATGCAAAACTATGTTTTCGCCTAAGTTTGTATAAGTATTTATGTATTAGTTAAGTGGGTTCGTATATAAATTATGATTAAGGCTATCTTGTTATAAGTTAAATAAGGACCAACCTTGGCTATCCTAGCCATCACATTGATTAAGGCATCCGACTAGTTTCGACAACTTCTTCTTAAAATATTAATACAAAATTTAAGAACTCTAGTTTATTTATTCTATTATGTGTAAAAAACAAGTGCATAAAACAAGCAAGAAACAATTATTATTATTTTCCTTTTATATGACCATTTTTAGGCAAAAATAAGACATATATTAGCATATACAGTCCCTAGCCAAGTTATTAGACGCACTATAAGATTCTATGCAAAATCTTAATTAAGACATTATTGTTTTGACACGGCTGAAACCGGTTTACATTTGTTTATGTTCGTGTATCAATTGGTTAACGTTGTAACGCAATACGTTAAAAATAAATACAAAGTATGTAAAAATTCTCCCTTATAAAAACCCATTACAAGTATGTTTAAATATAAAAGTATTGCCTATAAACTCGTGCAAAACATGCAATTATTAAAACACTACAGTGCGTCTAATAATTTGGTCTAATTATTATAATATATTAATATAATACCTGAGTTAATAAATATTCTATATTTATGTAATATATCGTCTAATTTAACCTATTAATGCACTAACGTAAACAAGTACAAACCGGTTTCAGTCGCGTGAAATTAGTAAGCTGTATAGTGTCAACTGATAATTACGATTTTACATGGAATCTTATAGTGAGTCTAATAATTTGGACAGTATGCTAAAGCCCGTAAAAACATTCTTACAAACATTCTTTTGAGAATTTTATTTATAAGATCATGTTTTGAACAATCATCTAAAAAGCAAGTGCATATACTACAGGGATTAATGCAGTTAAAAAAGCAAATTTTTAAAAATTTCAGCTCTTGTCTTTGCGAAGAAACATGCATAAAAAATGGAATTCTACTTTTGTCTTTCAGTCTGTAATTCAAAACATGTGTATTACAAGGGTTGCTATTTATATTTCTGGCCTAATAATNTTTAAAAATTTCAGCTCTTGTCTTTGCGAAGAAACATGCATAAAAAATGGAATTCTACTTTTGTCTTTCAGTCTGTAATTCAAAACATGTGTATTATAATCATATACGCTTATAAAAAATTGTAGACACTTAAAAACAACATTGTGTTTAAGATGGTGAAAAATGCGGGAGAAAAAAACAGATCTTGCGATAAAGGCATTTAAAGACTTAAAATCAGTCGTCTGTCCATCACTGTTATCACTTTGCACAAAAATTGCTATAACGTTGAGAAAAACTAGAGTACAAGCAAAAGTAAAGTAAAAGTAAGATAAAAGTATAGAATTTTGCACATACCTTAACACATATATAGTGGAAAATGAGATGAAAAAATTATTTCGCATAATTCCTTTTATAAATTTGTTTTTAATAATGTATTTGTCATTTATAGATGTTTATTATTTGAGATATTTATTTTAAAAATGACAAATCTAAGAGCATTGCAACTTGAAACATTTCAAGAAGTAAAGTTAAACGATTTGTGAAGTGAATATACCACTCAGATATGCATAACCTAAGTTGAATTTTTAATATCAGTGAAATAATATGTTTGGTAAATATAAAATTTCCATTTAAATCATTTTTTTTCACACTTTTCTGAGAGAAAAAAAAATTGAATCAATATATTTCGAATATTTTATTGCTGCATTTATTACCTATGATTTTTAAAAATTTAAAATTACGATATTCAATTGCATTTCTTTTAACGTCTATATTCATTTTTTAAGTAAAAGTTTTAATCATATTGACGGGGCTTTTTTCCCCAAAATAAAAATTAATCTGTAACATATTTGCCACCCATTGGCAAAAAGGGTGTTGTTTTGGGTTTGATTGCGTGCGCACCTTATTTGGACGTCATCACATTTTTCAATTGTGTTCAAGAGTAATAGTAAACAGTGCGAATGCGTCGTCATTGCGTGCATTGCTATGGCGACTGCTGCTGTTTGCTAATTTTTTTAAAATTCTTTTTTTTTCTTTTTATTTTCACCAGCAGGCATTTTTAATGTATTTACACAATAATAATAATTTAAAATATTTTTATATTCTTTTTATTATTAAGTTATAATTACCGTGTTGAGAGTGATTTTAATATAAATATGAATACTGACGAAGGAAAAGTATTTTGTGACGACACGTATCTATGCAGGATTTGAAAACCGACAAGAGGACAAACATCAATTGATACAGTTTTAGCAACCCATAATTTGAAATGTTTTGGCATTTATCGGAGTCAATCAAGAAAAGAAAAAAAAAGCATTTGATTAATGGGTAACCAGTGATCGCAAAAAAGCTATCATAATTATTTTTTCTTATATTATAAAACTTTTATAGATGACATTGAAGAAAGCAACGCTTTGTATTGTTTAAAATTTAAACCATATGCTTTTGCATATTTTAAGATTATTTTTTCTGTTATAATTTATGAGAAAAAAAAAACAATAAAGAAAACATTTGAGTGATACATTTTCTCTAAAGATTCCGTCATCTTTATATGTCATTTGAATCCTTGTCAAAAAAGTAAGTCGAAACTATGCAAGAAAAAACGCTATCGAAATATCGCTAATTATGAAGGAAACTATATTAGATTATTTATTCAATTAAACTCAATGATGTCGTCGTTTTAATCTGGTCAAAATGCTCGTTTAAGAAAATAAACGTGTTTAAAGAGAAATGAATACAACTTGAAATACGTGTAGAGCACGTAGCTTCGTTTTTTAAACATCTGTTTTGAAAATCGTTTTTATTTTAAAGTATAGACTAATGTATCCTAATAAATTGCTAATTTTTTTTTCTATACTTTAGATTGATATGAATATCAACATGAAACTAATTATATCATTTATTCTTGGTAAGTAGTCATTCAGTAGTTAGCGTCTAATTTATTTATCTGAATTGGTTTAAAATTCTATTTTACTTTTTATTTCAGTGTCTGTGGTTCAATGTTTTAGAACTTATTCTGAGATTGGAGAATTAAAACGCTGTTACGAGAATAAAGTTAACCAACGACTCACAGATGAAGTAATAAATGGTCAAACATTACCTTTACCCAACTCCATAGAAACTTTTATTTCTCTCGTTGAAAGGCTCGAAATATCCTACCCAAATGCTCAAGAACTGATTCGTCGATTACTCGTGAGCTTTCGAGTAGATAACATACCGGCTGATTTACGTTTCGAAAATCCAGTCTGGGAAGCTAACAATGAAGTGGAACGGGCTTTTTTCGCAATTGATAATTTCAATGTTGTGTTTAAGAAAGAAGATCTTACAGATGATGAAGAATGCGCTCTACATTTTATGCTCTCTCATACATTCAACGACACTCTTACAGGTTCTGAGAATGATGAACCTATTGGAAGGTATTTTATTTAAATAATACTCATTACAGTTCCTGGAGATATTATTAGATGCATTCAAATCTTAATAATAAGGTGATACTAATACAGCTTTATTGCACTGAAACCGGTTTGCACTTGTTTGCGTTCGTGTATCATTTGGTTAAACTAGACGATATAAAATATAAATTCGACGATTAGATAAATTAGACGATAGATTATATAAATATAGAATATTTATAATATCAGGTATTATATTAGTATATTAAAATAATTAAACCAAATTGTTAGACACACTGTAGTTTTTTAATAATGACATGTTTTGCACGAGTTTGCTCGCAATACTTTTTTATTTAAACATACATGCTATGGATTTTTATTCGGGAGATGTTTATATACTTCCTATTTGCATTTATTTTTGACGCATTGCATTACAATGTTAACCGATTGATACACGCATGTAAACAAGTGCAAACCGGTTTCAGCTGCGTAAAAACAATAAAGCTGTATAGCATCTCCTGATAATTAAGATTTTGCGTAGAATCTCATAGAGCGTCTAATAATTTGACCAGGTAATGTAATTTAGGAGAAGATTGATAGTAGTTGCTTAAAGCAAAGCAAATTGATACTTAATCATCAAATATTTAATTATTACTTTCCATACTACGCATATCTAGACATTGTCAATGAAATTATGAAATGTTATTGAACAAGTAAAAATAAATGCCCGTTGAAGGAAAGCGTTCGTCCCGCAGTGGACTGATCGTTAAGACACGGTTCCCAGCAGATCACCGAAGTCAAGCATCACTGACTGCGGTCAGTGTGCGGGTGGGTGACCACTTGGATCAGTCTGCGTAGGGACCGAGGGTGTGCGGTATTGGTCCTCGTTAAACTGTGCTNTTCTGCAGAGGATCAAAATTATGATGGCATGTCATCCTCAGGGATGTTTCCCAGACAGTCGCCAATAGCCCATAGTGCAGCTCTAGTGCAACGTAACTGAACAAATCAAAGGAAAGCGTTCATTGAGTCAGAGAATTTCTATAAATGTATTGGCAACTGTTTTGTTTTTTGATTCAGCATCATCTTGGTAGGGCACTGAACCCATGTCCAAGAGGTGGTGGGTTCGATCCTTGCCGGCACGCTAAATCTGTAGAGTCGCAAAGTCTTCCATGTTCCCATACCAAATCAAAAACTCTGGGAGTACTGTTACAGGAGTTTCCTTGTCTTCTGGATTGGTTTAAATTGACAAGGCTACGGAGTTGAACATTAGTAGTCGTAAACCCAAAATTGGGTCGGCTGTTCAGCGACAGATATAAAATAAAATACAAGTTAGCAAAATTTTTAAAAGTATTATGAGCATGACTTTTAAGTATGAAATGCTTTTGAAAATTCAAAACAGAAAATACGTTAAAGCATATTACTTGAAAAGTTTGGGAAAATAATAGCCTCTATATGATGTTAATGGTTGGTGCCACCAGCTCAATCATTGCAACTATGGCTGATTCATTGCAACTCTGGCTAATTCATTGAAGACCTAATCCACTATAACCAAATAATGGCACACAAAATAATGGCACATATAATAATGGCAGAATCGAAAATCGCATCTTCTGAAAATCTGATTAGTCGATCAAAAATTTCATTGATTATAAAGTTTGCCCATTTTTTATATGGATTTCAAGGTGTTTTTCTTCAGCTGTGTATTATAAATAAAAACGGATTTATAATTCTAAATACAAAGAGTTCCAGCAAAAAAGTGAAAGACGTTTCAAAACTCAATATTAGAAAGAATACAAGTTTCTTTGTCTCACGCTTTAAAGTCTGTTAAACCAAATAAATTCTTCGATTGCGATTAGTTAAGGACATTTTTGTTCATTTTTTTTTTAAAAATATGTGACAGTATGACTTCTTTTCTTTACAAGGTTTAAAAAAAGAGAACGAAACTTTCCATCTAGATAAGTGAGAGATTGTTTCCGGCAGAACCCAATGAAGCCATACCTCAGTCGATAGAAATAAGTGTTTTTAAAAGTATAAAAAGTACAGTTTGTACTTACATTTCGAGTCACGTTGCACCAAAAATTAGTATACATATGTTGGCTACATGAAATGGAGTTCAATTTTACTATATTTTGGTATTTTCAATGAAAGAAATGAAAAATAAGCCATTTACCTATCTAAATAAGTATAAACTTGAAGTCGTCCCGATGCACCGAGACTGAGTTGCAAAGAAAACATGTAGCCGTAAACAAATATCGTTTAGTTTACAGTCAAAGCTTTGTGCCTTTTGCCAAATTTTTGCGCAGTCAGTTGCATCATGGAAATATTTCTCGATCATACTTCCCAATTTATGGTGTAACTGAAATAAAATGATCTTTCATTCAACTAAACTTTGGGATAATAAGAAACTTTGCACCAAATAATGGTTGAGATTTACCGAGTTTTTGTTATAGTGTAGCTTAGTGTTTTTAAGCCAAATATATAATCCTTTCATTTCAGTGAACAGAAATTTTCTAAACATCCTCGAGAATATGGCGTAATAAGCATTCTTGGCAAAAAGAAACAGGCAGTTGCTCTTGGAAAAGTGTTACTCGGCATCTATGCAGGACTCTTAGGCAATAATCGAGATATTGATGCAACAGAATTACGAAGAAAAATAAAAGGATCAGGAGTTGATGATCGCTTAAATGGAGTGAAGCTTAATCGATTAAGTTCAGTTACAATTGCAGGTATTAGGTTCAAGTATATTTTATTAAAACAGATTATTTTGAAGAAATTTGTCTTTAGAGTTACAGAACTGATTTTTAACGCATTTTAATATTTAAAACTCCCTAAAATGTTAAGTTAGACATGATTTATTTTAGGATGTGAGTTGATTTCAAGCCCTTAATTTATAAGAGTCGCTNGCAGCTACTGCGATTCTTGCAACCAGCATTATCAACAGGGGTGTCATAAATCAGTGTTTTCATATGACTCCAGAAATCAAGACATGATAGGTCGGGTGACCGAGGAGGCCACATAATTTTTTCAATGTGTTATTACAGCGATTTTTCTGTTACGGTCTCTTTTCTTTATGGTGCTTCTGTGTACGTCACCGTTTCAGGAAAGCATTTCCGACCCCACATTGCTATATGATTTCGAGCTTTGGAAGCTTTGTTAGGAAAAAGATCCATGGCAATATATTTAAAGTGATTGCCAATACATAGATTCCTTTACTTCTTTTAGTGAACAATATTGTAACATGTGCTTAGCTGATTTCTTAATGAACGGTGATGTTGTGGGTGGCTTGAACATGCAGCCGTTCCTCCGGGCCATTTCCAAAATTAGTAATTTTATTGTTAAATATTCATTTTTTTAAGGAATTATTGCTGAGGAGCACCTGATTAGCTAAATTAAAACATACTTCTTATTATTTATAAAATTTCGATTTTTTTTATTGAAGCAGTTCATGTTTTTTAATAGATATTTTGTCTTTATAACTCTGGTGTTTGAATAATTGAAAATTATTTTCCTCTTCAACAATTTTCATAAATATATTTATTCGAGTACTATTGCCCACCTACAGTCAATCCTTCAACTACCCTAGCAACATATATATCTTGGCCCCAGTTGGGCTCGAAATTGGCTCACTATGCGTCCTATATGAACATGCTCCGAGAGACCAATATTGGGATATCTAGATTTTTTGATATTGGTACTATGCAGTGTGAATGTCGGGCTATATAGGGCTAATATTGACTGAATAATGATTACAAAATATCGGGTGAATCTGACAATTCTATATAGGGCTGGTTGTAAAGTGGCAGTAAAATATTAGGTGAATTGGACAATTCTATATAGGTCCCATACTGGAAAAATATCGGCCCTTTGAACCCTTATTGAACTAAGATTCGTGAATATTGGTCCAATGAGGGTCCATGTTATTTTGCTGCTAGGGTAAAGGCAATCAACATCTGTTAGATAAATAAATCTGCTAATTCCTTCCACACCTTCAATAACTTTTCTTTACATAATTTGAAAATGATTCTAATGGTTTATCTGCAGGGACAAAAGTAAATTGTATGCAAACTTCAATTTGTGATCTAAGTTAAACTAAACTAAACTCAGTGGCGTCCATAGTAAAACAGTAAGCTCATAGAGGCTTACTGTACCCATCTCAATTTTCTTGACCTCGGGCTCTGGGGTGCAGGAGCAGATGTTCCCGTTGGGTGGTCAGCCAAAACATGTAACCCCCACTATTTAGTCCCCAAGCATGCTTGGTACTTATTTTATCGACCCACTGAAGGGATGAAAGGCTGATTTGTGATCTAATATTTCCAATTAATACAGAGTATAGAAACTTTCGTAAATCTCTAATCAGTTAATCTTTTGCTTACCTTTTGCTTACGGCTGGTACAACTGATGATTCAGAATAGTAGGTGCTTTCAGGAGCCATAAGCAAAAGGTTAAACTTCTGCTCTGTCAAAGCTAGTTTGAATTCATCCTTGAAAAGCTCAATCTTCTGAAAAAATGCCTTTTCATTAACCTTTTGCTTACGGCTGGGACAACTGATGATTCAGAATAGTAGGTGCTTTCAGGAGCCATAAGCAAAAGGTTAAACTTCTGCTCTGTCAAAGCTAGTTTGAATTCATCCTTGAAAAGCTCAATCTTCTGAAAAAATGCCTTTTCATTAACCTTTTGCTTGCGGCTGGGACAACTGATGATTCAGAATAGTAGGTGCTTTCAGGAGCCATAAGCAAAAGGTTAAACTTCTGCTCTGTCAAAGCTAGTTTGAATTCATCCTTGAAAAGCTCAATCTTCTGAAAAAATGCCTTTTCATTAACCTTTTGCTTACGGCTGG